GTGCCCTAGTTCTACAACTTTGAAGCCAGGGTCTGTGCCCTAGTTCTACAACTTTGAAGCCAGGGTCTGTGCCCTAGTTCTACAACTTTGAAGCCAGGGTCTGTGCCCTAGTTCTACAACTTTGAAGCCAGGGTCTGTGCCCTAGTTCTACAACTTTGAAGCCAGGGTCTGTGCCCTAGTTCTACAACTTTGAAGCCAGGGTCTGTGCCCTAGTTCTACAACTTTGAAGCCAGGGTCTGTGCCCTAGTTCTACAACTTTGAAGCCAGGGTCTGTGCCCTAGTTCTACAACTTTGAAGCCAGGGTCTGTGCCCTAGTTCTACAACTTTGAAGCCAGGGTCCATGCCCTAGTTCTACAACTTTGAAGCCAGGGTCTGTGCCATAGTTCTACAACTTTGAAGCCAGGGTCTGTGCCATAGTTCTACAACTTTGAAGCCAGGGTCCATGCCATAGTTCTACAACTTTGAAGCCAGGGTCCATGCCCTAGTTCTACAACTTTGAAGCCAGGGTCCATGCCCTAGTTCTACAACTTTGAAGCCAGGGTCCGTGCCCTAGTTCTACAACTTTGAAGCCAGGGTCTGTGCCATAGTTCTACAACTTTGAAGCCAGGGTCTGTGCCATAGTTCTACAACTTTGAAGCCAGGGTCCATGCCCTAGTTCTACAACTTTGAAGCCAGGGTCCATGCCATAGTTCTACAAAATTTGAAGCCAGGGTCCATGCCCTAGTTCTACAACTTTGAAGCCAGGGTCCATGCCCTAGTTCTACAACTTTGAAGCCAGGGTCCATGCCCTAGTTCTACAACTTTGAAGCCAGGGTCCGTGCCCTAGTTCTACAACTTTGAAGCCAGGGTCTGTGCCATAATTCTACAACTTTGAAGCCAGGGTCTGTGCCCTAGTTCTACAACTTTGAAGCCAGGGTCTGTGCCCTAGTTCTACAACTTTGAAGCCAGGGTCCATGCCATAGTTCTACAACTTTGAAGCCAGGGTCCATGCCCTAGTTCTACAACTTTGAAGCCAGGGTCCATGCCATAGTTCTACAACTTTGAAGCCAGGGTCCATGCCATAGTTCTACAACTTTGAAGCCAGGGTCCATGCCCTAGTTCTACAACTTTGAAGCCAGGGTCCGTGCCCTAGTTCTACAACTTTGAAGCCAGGGTCTGTGCCATAGTTCTACAACTTTGAAGCCAGGGTCTGTGCCATAGTTCTACAACTTTGAAGCCAGGGTCCATGCCATAGTTCTACAACTTTGAAGCTAGGGTCCATGCCATAGTTCTACAACTTTGAAGCCAGGGTCCATGCCATAGTTCTACAACTTTGAAGCCAGGGTCCATGCCATAGTTCTACAACTTTGAAGCCAGGGTCCATGCCATAGTTCTACAACTTTGAAGCCAGGGTCCATGCCATAGTTCTACAACTTTGAAGCCAGGGTCCATGCCATAGTTCTACAACTTTGAAGCCAGGGTCCATGCCATAGTTCTACAACTTTGAAGCCAGGGTCCATGCCATAGTTCTACAACTTTGAAGCCCGGGTCCATGCCATAGTTCTACAACTTTGAAGCCAGGGTCCATGCCATAGTTCTACAACTTTGAAGCCAGGGTCTGTGCCCTAGTTCTACAACTTTGAAGCCAGGGTCCATGCCCTAGTTCTACAACTTTGAAGCCAGGGTCCATGCCATAGTTCTACGTGATGAGCTCAGCTCAGCTCAGATGAGCTGAGAGAAGGGGTCGATGCAGTAAGTGTGAGCAATATAAAACAAATCCTGCAGCACGCAGTGCATAATGAGAAAAAACTAGGACTGTGTATATGGTTTAAAACAACAACTTTGCGATGTATTTTCATGTGGTTTTTATGGTTGTATTCTTGGTCTCATTTGATAAAATGGAAACTATATTACAGAAATAGACAAGATTTTGATGGGTTTTAGGACTGAAAATAGCAAAAATGTTAGTTTGTTGCCAATGTTCAAGAGTAAACAAATCACGTCACACATCCATTATGCGTCAGCTGGCGGGTCTGATGTGCGTTCATGAAGGCGCTCATATTATTTATACAATTATTACAATATTACATAACAATGGCTCATCTATTTTTTGTGTGAATAAACAATTAAAATGGAATTCATGTGTAAAGTCTGGAAGTATTACTAATAAACAGAGAAAATGTTAATTAAGCACCAGGAAAGTCTGCATTATTTATTCTGGATTCTGTTTTGAAATTGGCATATAGTGAAATTAGTGTAAAATTGGCCAAATTCTTTAAACTAAACATATTGATCAATAAGGTTAACTCTCCTGTTCTGATGCCTCTGTAAATTCCTCTTTTCTCTTCTAATCAATTCTTTAGTCTTCTCTTCATCCATTTGGGATCGTTCTTATTTTTATTATTTTATTATCACACTGGCCGATTCCCACCAAGGCAGGGTGGCCCAAAAAAGAAAAACTTTCACCATCATTCACTCCATCACTGTCTTGCCAGAAGGGTGCTTTACACTACAGTTTTTAAACTGCAACATTAACACCCCTCCTTCAGTTCTTATTTGACTTAATTTCTCTCTGTGACATTCAGAGGCAGATCTCAGTTACTGCAATTTGAACAATGTGAATTTCAATTTAGTCCAAATTAATGTTAGTTTTCCCCATCTCTTCAAATAGGATGCAGAAATTGCATATAATTTGAAGAGTGCAACCATTGCATGGGGTTAATTATTCATAGTGACGGAGAGCTGGCGGTACGTACTGTGAGCTCTGTATGTCATGAAGATAAAGGTCATAGATACAGATCCCTGTAGAAATCTTCCTTATGAAGAAAGATTGAAGACTCTTAAGTTACATTCACTTGTTAGACGAAGAATGAGGGGAGACCTGATCGAAGTGTATAAGTGGACGATAGGTATTAATAAAGGGGATATTAATAAGGTCTTGAGGATGTCTCTCCAAGAGAGAACCCGCAGTAATGGATTTAAATTAGATAAGTTTAGATTTAGAAAGGACATAGGAAAGTATTGGTTTGGAAATAGGGTAGTTGATGAGTGGAACAGTCTACCTACTTGGGTTATTGAGGCTGGGACTTTGGGTAGTTTCAAATTTAGGTTGGATAAGTACATGAGTGGGAGGGGTTGGATTTGAGAGGGACTTGCACATCGGAGCTTGTTTCTTGGGTGGCATTGAAAATTGGGTTGGCCAAATGTTTTGTTAGTGGGATGAATTGTAAAGGACCTGCCTAGTATGGGCCAACAGGCCTGCTGCAGTGTTCCTCCTTTCTTATGTTCTTATGTTCTTATGTCATTATTGTCAGAAGAGTAGTTAGCTAGATAACCCCAGTCAAGGCTAGACAGGTCTTCCCTTAGTCTCTTATTGACACATCATAACATAACCTAACCTAACCTTAACCTAATCTAACCCAACCCAACTTAACCTAACTTAACCCACCCTAATCTAACCCAACCCAACTTAACCTAACTTAACCCACCCTAGTCTAACCCAACCCAACTTAACCTAAGTTAATCCACCCTAATCTAACCCAACCTAACTTTAACCTAATCTAACCCAACTGAACCTAACCTAACCCAACTTAACCTTAACCTAATGTAACCCAACCCAACCCAACCCAACTTAACCTTAACCTAATCTAACCCAACTAAACCTAACCTAACTTAACCTAACCCAACCTAACCTAACATAACCTAACCTAACGTAACCTAACCTTAACCTAATCTAACCCAACCTAATCTAACCCAACTAAACCTAACCTAACCCAACCTAACCTTTACCTAATGTAACCCAACTCAACCTAACCTAACCTAGCCTAACCCAACCTAACCTAACCTAACCTAACCCAACCTAACCTAACCTTAACCTAATGTAACCCAACTTAACCTAACCTAACCTAACCTTAACCTAATCTTAACCTAATCTAACCCAACTCAACCTAACCTAACTTTTCAAAGGTATTCTAACCATTCTGGTAGTATTCCCTGGTAATATCAACATTCTGGTAGTATTCCCTGGTAACATCAACATTCTGGGAGTATTCCCTGGTAATATCAACATTCTGGTAGTATTCCCTGGTAACATCAACATTCTGGGAGTATTCCCTGGTAATATCAACATTCTGGTAGTATTCCCTGGTAATACAACATTCTGGTAGTATTCCCTGGTAATATCAACATTCTGGGAGTATTCCCTGGTAACATCAACATTCTGGGAGTATTCCCTGGTAACATCAACATTCTGGTAGTATTCCCTGGTAATATCAACATAGATGTTTGATCACTTGTGTTAGGCTCTTCACTAGATTATTTATGAATGTAAGTTATCATATGTGTTTGTAAATTGTCTGAGTTACTGTAAATTGAATATCAAATGTAAATCCAACGTGAGTGTAAACGTGTGTTGATAATGATACCGACAAGTTGTGAGACATGTACAACAGGCAAGTATCTTTATTGGTGGAGTATGTTACCTACACAGGAAGATTCTTCAGTCAAATAGAGACAGCAAGAGCAGCAACAAGCTTAGAGAAAATAGTATATGAGGTGGTCAGTCCCTCAGCCTGACCACCTCAAACCTTGAAGAGGTTTGATGGATTAATTAATTACATCATCTGTACTGCACTGCTGCTCCTGCTGCCTCGTTATATGACTGAATAAACCTATTTTGTAGGTAAAATATAGACTGTGGTAAAAGTTATGTACTCTGACACCCATAATCATTGTTTCAGGTCATTGTTGTTACTGGACCAGTACTACTGGTAGCTTAGTTATTGGACCAGTACTACTGGTAGCTTAGTTACTGGACCAGTACTACTGGTAGCTTAGTTATTGGACCAGTACTACTGGTAGCTTAGTTACTGGACCAGTACTACTGGTAGCTTTGTTACTGGACCAGTACTACTGGTAGCTTAGTTATTGGACCAGTACTACTGGTAGCTTAGTTACTGGACCAGTACTACTGGTAGCTTGGTAAAAGTTATTTACTCTGACACCAGTAAACATTGTTTCAGGTCATTGTTGTTACTGGACCAGTACCGCAAGAAGTCCCAGTTGTTCCGAACAAACGTGGTTCTGGTCCCTCTGGGTGACGACTTCCGGTTCGTTCGACCAGAGGAATGGGATGACCAATTTAACAACTACCAACGACTGTTTGACTATCTCAACACCAATGATGACCTTCATGTTGAGGTAACCATAGGTGGGCTCCGGTTATACTGCAGGGCCTCGCTTATACTGCAGGGCCTCGCTTATACTGCAGGGCCTCACTTATACTGCAGTGCCTCGCTTATACTGCAGGGCCTCGCTTATACTGCAGGGCCTCGCTTATACTGCAGGGCCTCGCTTATACTGCAGGGCCTTGCTTATACTGCAGGGCCTCGCTTGTACTGCAGGGCCTTGCTTATACTGCAGGGCCTTGCTTGTACTGCAGGGCCTCGCTTGTACTGCAGGGCCTTGCTTGTACTGCAGGGCCTCGCTTATACTGCAGGGCCTTGCTTATACTGCAGGGCCTCGCTTATACTGCAGGGCCTCGCTTATACTGCAGGGCCTCGCTTATACTGCAGGGCCTTGCTTATACTGCAGGGCCTCGCTTGTACTGCAGGGCCTCGCTTATACTGCAGGGCCTTGCTTGTACTGCAGGGCCTCGCTTATACTGCAGGGCCTTGCTTATACTGCAGGGCCTCGCTTATACTGCAGGGCCTCGCTTATACTGCAGGGCCTCGCTTATACTGCAGGGCCTCGCTTATACTGCAGGGCCTCGCTTGTACTGCAGGGCCTTGCTTGTACTGCAGGGCCTCGCTTATACTGCAGGGCCTCGCTTGTACTGCAGGGCCTCGCTTATACTGCAGGGCCTTGCTTGTACTGCAGGGCCTCGCTTGTACTGCAGGGCCTTGCTTGTACTGCAGGGCCTCGCTTGTACTGCAGGGCCTTGCTTGTACTGCAGGTCCTCGCTTATACTGCAGGGCCTTGCTTGTACTGCAGGTCCTCGCTTATACTGCAAGGCCTCGCTTGTACTGCAGGTCCTCGCTTGTACTGCAGGGCCTTGCTTGTACTGCAGGGCCTCGCTTGTACTGCAGGTCCTTGCTTGCACTGCAGGGCCTCGCTTGTATTGCAGGGCCTCGCTTGTACTGCAGGGCCTCGCTTGTACTGCAGGGCCTCGCTTGTACTGCAGGGCCTCGCTTGTACTGCAGGGCCTCGCTTGTACTGCAGGGCCTCGCTTGTACTGCAGGGCTTCGCTTATACTGCAGGGCCTCGCTTGTACTGCAGGGCCTCGCTTGTACTGCAGGGTCTCGCTTGTACTGCAGGGTCTCGCTTGTACTGCAGGGCCTCGCTTGTACTGCAGGGCCTCGCTTGTACTGCAGGGTCTCGCTTGTACTGCAGGGCCTCGCTTGTACTGCAGGGCCTCGCTTGTACTGCAGGGCTTCGCTTATACTGCAGGGCCTCGCTTGTACTGCAGGGCCTCGCTTGTACTGCAGGGCCTTGCTTGTACTGCAGGGCCTTGGTTGTACTGCAGGGCTCCGCTCATACTGCAGGGCCCCACTTATACCACAGGGCCCTGCTTATACAGCAGGTTAGGTTCCGGGCTACTGCTGTACAGGATTCCCCACGTATACAACAGGTTAGGTTCCTGGCATGTATCCATCTCACCCTGGTTGGACCCTGGTGTACATAACACTGGTGGTGTACTACCTGGTATGGACCCTGGTGTACATACCACTGGTGATGTACTACCTGGTATGGACCCTGGTGTGCATACCCCTGGTTTCTCCAGTATTGACTGTGCATTTGACAAACTATTGTATATTTGACTGTTGGGCAGATGCCTGGCTTTGTATGTCCCACTATTGTGCACCTCTGTCCCATCTGTAACATTTTCCTGTTTGGCCTCTTTCTTTGGTGTAATCATTTCTCTTTGTGTCTAAAAATGATTTCTGTTCATTTTCCATTCCTCTGATTTTTCTGTAGCACCACATTTCTTTTACATGATGGTCTGGGCAACTCGGGTCATAACATTCTCCAAACTATGTTGAAGCTTGCACATCACTGGGTGGAAGCACCTGCACTCTTTGTCAAAGTGACACTTTCCCTTTCTCAACATGTTCACACATTTTCTGTTGTGTTTATTTAACCAAGCTCTCCCATATAGGCACATCCCTTTTTTCATAATATTTGCAGATGTCCTGACTGCCTACATTTACTGAATTCGACTCCTTCCTGAGTTCTGCCAAGTGATTTCCATTCTCTTGTTTTCTTTCATCTAAGCATATTTCTTCCAGGTTTTCCTTCTTCTCAATGTCATGCATCTGTTTCTTTTTTTTTTCTTTTCTGACTTGCCCTGAATGATGGTCTCTCCTTATTTCAGCTCCTGAGTCCTTACCTTTACATGAATCCCTCTCCTTGTTCCCTACCACAGAATCAAAGATGGGAATATATGAGTGTATAGTAGTACCAACACTCTTATACAGGTATGAAGCATGGGTGGTGAATGTTGCAACAAGGAGAAGGCTGGAGGCAGTGGAGATGTGTCTGAGAGCAATGTGTGGTGTGAATATAATGCAGAGAATACGTAGCATGAAGATAACAAGGAGGTGTGGGGCTACTAAAAGTATTATCCAGAGGGCTGAGGAGGGATTGTTGAGGTGGTTTGGATATTTAGAGAAGATGGAACAAAATAGAATGGCTTGGAAAGTGTATAAATCTGTAGTGGAAGGTGGGAGTGGTAGGGGTCAGCCTATGAAAGGTTGGAGGGAGGGGATAAAGGAGGTTTTGTGTATGAGGGACTTGGACTTCCAGGAAGTGTGTGTGAGAGTGTTAGAGAGCAGTGAGTGGAGACGAATAGTTTTTATGACTTGACGTGCTGTTTCGGTGTGAGTAAGTTAACGTTTATGGAGGGATCAGGGAAACCATTTAACAGGACTTGAGTCCTGGAGATGGAAAGTACAGTGCCTGCACTCTGAAGGACGGGTAGAGATATGTTGCAGTTTTATAACTGTAGTGTGAGTGCACTCTGGCAAGACACTGATGGAGTGAATGGTGATAAATGTTTTTTTTTATTCCCGGTCACGCTGCCTTGGTTGGAGATAGCCAATGTGTTAATAAACAAAATAGTTATGCAGCCTCTCCTCACTTAACAACAGAGCTGCGTTCCTAAGATCACGACTGTAAACGAATTGTTCACTAAGTGAGGAGCGTACTATAATGGTAGTGGGTTTCTGTCAACCATCTTTGATATTGTTATAATGTCACATTTGTACCATTTATAACATTTTTAGTATATTTTTAAATGTTTATACAGTAGTGTAGTGTATATTGTAATAAACAGGACAGAGGGAATCGGCTCTAATATACATTATTTAGGTCAGAGAGCCGTCATAAGTCTGAGGCGTTGGTAAATGAGTACGTCGCTAAGTTAGCACAAGCTGTGTTTGATAAATTACTTGTATGTATTGTACTGAAAGCCTGGAATTGTCACTGTACAGTGTAGTGTATCACTGTACAGTGTAGTGTGTCACTGTACAGTGTAGTATGTCACTGTACAGTGTAGTGTGTCTCTACAGTGTAGTGTGTCACTGTACAGTGTAGTGTGTCACTGTACAGTGTAGTGTGTCACTGTACAGTGTAGTATGTCACTGTACAGTGTAGTGTGTCTCTGTACAATATCTGTCACTGTACAGTGTAGTATGTCACTGTACAGTGTAGTGTGTCTCTGTACAGTGTAGTGTGTCACTGTACAGTGTAGTGTGTCACTGTACAATATGTCACTGTACAGTGTAGTATGTCACTGTACAGTGTAGTGTGTCACTGTACAATATCTGTCACTGTACAGTGTAGTATGTCACTGTACAGTGTAGTGTGTCACTGTACAGTGTAGTGTGTCACTGTACAGTGTAGTGTGTCACTGTACAGTGTAGTGTGTCACTGTACAGTGTAGTGTGTCACTGTACAATATCTGTCACTGTACAGTGTAGTGTGTCTCTGTACAGTGTAGTGTGTCACTGTACAATATCTGTCACTGTACAGTGTAGTGTCACTGTACAGTGTAGTGTGTCACTGTACAGTGTAGTATGTCACTGTACAGTGTAGTATGTCACTGTACAATATCTGTCACTGTACAGTGTAGTGTGTCACTGTACAGTGTAAGATGTCACTGTACAGTGTAGTATGTCACTGTACAATATCTGTCACTGTACAGTGTAGTGTGTCACTGTACAGTGTAGTATGTCACTGTACAATATGTCACTGTACAGTGTAGTGTGTCACTGTACAGTGTAGTGTGTCACTGTACAGTGTAGTATGTCACTGTACAGTGTAGTATGTCACTGTACAATATCTGTCACTGTACAGTGTAGTGTGTCACTGTACAGTATCTTCACTGTACAGTGTAGTGTGTCTCTGTACAGTGTAGTGTGTCACTGTACAATATCTGTCACTGTACAGTGTAGTGTGTCTCTGTACTGTGTAGTGTGTCACTGTACAATATCTGTCACTGTACAGTGTAGTGTGTCACTGTACAGTGTAGTATGTCACTGTACAGTGTAGTGTGTCACTGTACAGTGTAGTGTGTCACTGTACAGTGTAGTATGTCACTGTACAGTGTAGTGTGTCTCTGTACAGTGTAGTGTGTCTCTGTACAGTGTAGTATGTCACTGTACAGTGTAGTGTGTCTCTGTACAGTGTAGTATGTCACTACAGTGTAGTGTGTCTCTGTACAGTGTAGTGTGTCACTGTACAGTGTAGTGTGTCACTGTACAGTGTAGTGTGTCACTGTACAGTGTAGTATGTCACTGTACAGTGTAGTGTGTCTCTGTACAATATCTGTCACTGTACAGTGTAGTATGTCACTGTACAGTGTAGTGTGTCTCTGTACAGTGTAGTATGTCACTGTACAGTGTAGTGTGTCTCTGTACAGTGTAGTGTGTCACTGTACAGTGTAGTGTGTCACTGTACAATATCTGTCACTGTACAGTGTAGTGTGTCTCTGTACAGTGTAGTGTGTCACTGTACAATATCTGTCACTGTACAGTGTAGTGTGTCTCTGTACAGTGTAGTGTGTCGCTGTACAGTGTAGTATGTCACTATAATAATTAAAATCCATGTTAATGAGATAATGCATCATGCTGGCAGGCACAGTTTGGTACACTTGCGGACTACTTCCGGGCAGTGCATGAGGAGAGTGAGTCGCTGAGCGGCGGTGCTGGCAGTGGTGGTGAGGACGACATCTTCCCGAGCCTCACCGGCGACTTCTTCACTTACGCCGACCGTGATGACCATTACTGGAGTGGTTACTATACTACCAGACCTTTCCACAAGACCTTGACTAGAGTCCTGGAGGGTTATCTCAGGTATGTAAGACAGTACTGACCTTGACCAGAGTCCTGGAGGGTTATCTCAGGTATGTAAGACAGTACTGACCTTGACCAGAGTCCTGGTGGGTTACCTCAGGCAAGTAAGGAATGTCTATCAGTGATAGCTGTGGTATATATCAAGTCTAACAATGATATCTGAGGTATATATCAAGTCTAGCAGTGATATTTGGGGTATATATCAAGTCTAGCAATGATATCTGAAGTATATATCAAGTCTAGCAGTGATATTTGGGGTATATATCAAGTCTAGCAGTGATATCTGAGGTATATATCAAGTCTAGCAGTGATATTTGGGGTATATATCAAGTCTAGCAATGATATCTGAAGTATATATCAAGTCTAGCAGTGATATTTGGGGTATATATCAAGTCTAGCAGTGATATCTGAGGTATATATCAAGTCTAGCAGTGATATTTGGGGTATATATCAAGTCTAGCAGTGATATTTGGGGTATATATCAAGTCTAGCAATGATATCTGAAGTATATATCAAGTCTAGCAGTGATATTTGGGGTATATATCAAGTCTAGCAGTGATATCTGAGGTATATATCAAGTCTAGCAGTGATATTTGGGGTATATATCAAGTCTAGCAATGATATCTGAAGTATATATCAAGTCTAGCAGTGATATTTGGGGTATATATCAAGTCTAGCAGTGATATCTGAGGTATATATCAAGTCTAGCAGTGATATTTGGGGTATATATCAAGTCTAGCAGTGATATTTGGGGTATATATAAAGTCTAGCAATGATATCTGAAGTATATATCAAGTCTAGCAGTGATATTTGGGGTATATATCAAGTCTAGCAGTGATATTTGGGGTACATATCAAGTCTAGCAGTGATATCTGAGGTATATATCAAGTCTAGCAGTGATATTTGGGGTATATATCAAGTCTAGCAGTGATATTTGGGGTACATATCAAGTCTAGCAGTGATATCTGAGGTATATATCAAGTCTAGCAGTGATATTTGGGGTATATATCAAGTTTAGAACTTGTAAATATTTTATTTTTTTACAGTAAGTGAGAGGATATAATTTACAGTGGGACAGAACTATATTTAATGACCTCTGACTGAGGTCCTCTTCAGTGGATCAACCTCTGAAGAGGTGGCACTGGTGTTATACAGAGTGCCATACACTGTTATAGGTGCTCCTCCACTTACAATGGGGTTACGTTCCTATAAATAAGTCGATAAATACAGCAGATTGTTGATTAATATGTCTTTGGTGTGTTTTACACTGCAGTACTTTGTACAGGTGATGGTAAAACATTATGAGTTGCTCTAGTTCCCAGAAGAACATATTCACTGTACTTGTTATTGCTTGTTGATCTGTGGGGAGAGTTGATGTGACCTGTACAATATCTGTCCAAACATATGACAGGCTGTCTGACCCTGTACAATACCTGTGCTAACATATGACAGGCTATTACGAACACAGGTAATAATGGCCTGTTGACCTGGTCATAATGGGTTGAAGCAAAACAAACTCAGCAGAATATTTCGCTTATATTTTTCTTCACCAAATGTTTATATACATATATATACACACCCTTTGGGATTTTGTTCTATATTTCTTACTAGTTCTTGTTCTTGTTTATTTCCACTTATCTCCATGGGGAAGTGGAACGGAAGTCTTCCTCTGTAAGCCATACGTGTCATAAGAGTTGACAAAAATGCTGGGAGCAAAGGGCTAGTAACCCCTTCTTCTGTATATATTACTAAATGTAAAAGGAGAAACTTTCATTTTTCTCTTTGGGCCACCCCACCTCAGTGGGAAATGGCTGATGCATTGAAAGAAGAATGTACACTTATGTACACTATGTACAAGAATGGAGTATAAGTGTACTACACAGTGATTAAGGCATAGACAGCAGCCTGAGAGAAAGGACTGTGCTTCAACCAGCTAGAGGTGAGTCTGGTAAATGCTACACAAATAACCCACATAAAAGAGAGAAGCTTACGACGACGTTTCGGTCCGACTTGGACCATTTACAAAGCCACACTAACCAGAAGTGGAGCAGGACGGCTATATATAGGCAAATGCTGACCATGAGTGACACCACATTGTCTCAGCACTTGGCAGGCTCATCTGTGATTAATTAATGAACCAAGGTACTGATTTAATGATGGGCCCTAAAAGATTGCTAAACCCTTAGTACCCGGTTTGCTGGTTGGGAGGCAGCCTATATGGGAGTGTGTACATGCGCTGAATAAAGTGTAACGTACTCTTGGCATGCCACACAGGCTATCTGACCTTGTACAATACCTGTACAAATATATGATAGGCTATCTGACCCTGTACAATACCTGCACAAACATGACAAGCTATCTGACCCTGTACAATACCTGTACAAACATATGACTGGCTATCTGACCCTGTACAATACCTGTACAAACATATGACAAGCTATCTGACCCTGTACAATACTTGTACAAATATATAACAGGCTATCTGACCCTGTACAATACCTGTACAAACATGACAAGCTATCTGACCCTGTACAATACCTGTACAAACATATTACAGGCTCTCTGACCCTGTACAATACCTGTACAAACATATGACAAGCTCAAATAACCCAAACATAGGAGAGACGCTTATGATTACATTTTGGTCTGACGTGGACCATTTGCAGAGTCACACTAACACAAAAGAGTGAGGTAGCCCTTTCTTCTCTTAAATCTAATATGTACCAATATTGTCATCCCCTTTTCTGACAAAGGCAGTTTGGTGGTTTCTTTTGTTAGTGAGGATTGCCTCCATAAAGCTGAAGCCTTGCTCTCTGACTCATGTACCTACATTCCTCTCGTTTTCAATCCTCTTGACAGCATCAAGAGAACTTTCAACAATGAACTTTGAACTCTTTCCAACCTCTGTCCTCCCAACCTTGACCTTTTTCAAGGTTTCTGTTTTACTTGTCCCTCTCTGTCTTATTTCTATGATTTTAAAACTCATAAACTTGATATTCCTCTACATCCCATCATATCCTTTTGAGGTTCTGTCTCCTGTTCCCTTGCTTCTTGCCTGGCCAAAACCCTCATTTCTTTTCTTGGTACTTTTTCTCTTGCTCACCTTTGTCACTTTCGAGACTTCATCAAACATGTGCGTCCTCTCCCGGCCTGTAAGATGCTCAGTCTTGACGTTGAGTCCCTCTTCACAATGTTCCTCTTGATGACGTTATTTATTTTCTCAGAGAGAAGGTCAGTGATGGGTTACTTCATCTCCCTATACCACTGATGTCTTTCATGATCTTATTTGCCTTTGTGTGGACTCTAACTCCTTTTCCTTCCAAGGTAAATTTTATTCTCAAACCTTTGGTGTCACCATGGGCTCTCCTCTATCCCCTGTTCTTGCTTACCTTTATATGGAATACTTCAAAACTATTCTTTTTCCTCTATTGGTGTGCGTCCTTCCCTCTGGCTTTGCTATGTAGATGATATCTTTGATCTTTGGTCCTGTGACTCTAGTCTTTTCTAGCAACTTCTCATTGCCCTTAAAAATCTTGCTCCTCCTATCAAGTTTAAAACTAAATGGGAATCTAACTCTTTGCTTCCTTTCCTTGATGTACATGTTCACTGCTCAGTTACAGGTTTTTGTCTTTGCCATTTATCACATGCCTATGCACAGAGGCATGTATATTCGTACTTTTCTTACCATGCTTCCTCTGTCAAGAGAAGTGTTCTTATTTCCTTCTTTCTCTCCATTCCTTTTCGCTAAACTAATACTGTAAGCAATAATCTAGTTCATACCTTTCCTGTTATAGATGCCCCTGGTGTCTCCTCTATTTCATGCTCCTCTTGTCCTCTCCAATTCTTTGGAGAAACTGGCTGCTCTCTTTCTGACAGACTTAAAGAGCACAAAAGAAGTGTTAGGAATGCCGACACTAATAATGGTCTTTTCTGTCATGTTAGAGATCACAGTCATTCTATTGACTGGTCCTCTGCTGAAACTCTCTACCCAACTTCTTATTCACAACTTTCCTTGTATGAATCTTGGTCCTGACTTTGTCTCTGTTGATGCTTGCCTTTCTTATTACATTGTCAAATGCTCCAAACTTCAGAGCACTTGTGAATTAACCTCATCCTTCCTTCTCCTCCTTTCCCTGCCTCTTCTCCTTTCCTGTTTTTTCCTTTTTCTTTCTTTATTTTCTTTCCTTCAGCCTATTGTGTTGTGTCAGTACTTCCTATATACACTGGCTACCTCACATTTTTGTGTTAGTGTGACTTTGTAAATGGTCCAAGTTGGACCAGAATGTCATCCTAAGTTTCTCTCTCCTATGTGTGTGTATTATTTGTGTATTGTTCCAGTCATGGTGTTGTACTTTGTGTCATGACCCCAGGGTCGTTGTGGCCATCTCACTGCTGTCAAATTAACTGTTAGAATGCTTTTACAAATATAAAGTACAGTGGACCTCCGCGAATTCGCAGTTCCAAATTCGCGGCTTCAGTAATTCGCGAATTTTCCCTTAGAGAGTAACTAATAATTGTTCGCTGAAATCCCCACAAATTTGCAGATTTTTTTTTTTTTTTTTTTTTTGTGATGTATAATTTTTATGCATTTTAATGCTAAATATTAGGAAAAATATAATTTAATAATTTTGTAACAAATATTAGTGTAAATTCAGCAAAATTTCCATATAAAATTTAATCCTGTATTAATTTTTTTGTGATTTACTAAATTAAATTATTACTGTATATTTACCGTACATATACCAAAGATGGACCCCAATGGAAATAAGTCACTTTGACTTTTTTGGGATATCCGAGGTTCTCTATACATACAAATACAAATACAAATATTTATTTCCTTGTAAAGCTTACAGTGTGTGGTTTACATGTTATAAGATTTAAATACAAAGATGGCCACTGTCGTGCCTAGGCACTTCAGCCAGACTAATACTAATTCTTAAGCTATTATGATATAGGCCATATTTGAGCAGTACGTTTGAACATATTATTAGCTACTTAATTAGGAACATTCTCAATTAGGTACATACATAATTAGGTTTAAAATAGTTAGCCAGTCATATCATTTAATATTAATACAAATGGCAAATTTAGTAATGGGATTCGATTTGTCTTGGCATGATATATTGTTTGTATTAAAGCCGTACTGGAGGAGTAACTTAGACAAACTTAGGATTAACTTAAGATTTAATAAGACTAACATAAGATTTAATAGGTAGTAGCTATATTAGGAAGTGGATGTTTACAGCCCTTTGGGTGGGTGTAGGTGGAAATTATGGGGGAATTACAGATAACGATGGTTTTCATTTGGTTAGCTGATGATGGGGTTTGTTATGGAGATGAGATGAAGATTGAGACACTAATGCACCATATGGGAATCTTTATTTCCTAAATAAAGATTCCCATATGGTGCATAAGAGTCTCAATCTTCAACTTGTCGGTTTTCAAAGCCATTATCACATGGAGATGAGATGTTTTTTAATGGTAGTTTTGAAAATGGTGGTTGAGTCTGCGGTTGTAGAGCTTTTAGACAGGGAGTTCCAGATTATAGGCCCTTTTATGTACATCAAAGATTTGTATAGGTTTAGCCAGACATGGGGAATGTCAGAAAGTTTTGTGTCTGGTGTCATGTCTATGGGTCCTGTTGCAACTATCAAGAAATTGTTTTAGTTCTGGGTTAAAATTAGAGCTTATGGTTCTGTAAATGTAGATAAATAACATAAAAGGCACAATACCGTGATTGAAACGATACATAAATAACCCGCAAATAGAAGAGAGAAGTTTACGACGACATTTCGGTCAGACTTCAGTCCAAGTCTGACCGAAACGTCGTCATAAGCTCCTCACTTCTATTTGCGGGTTATTTGTGTACTGTAAATGTAGACTGCACAATAGTAGGTGTGAATGTTCTGTACGGTGAGTAGGTTTAAGTCTTTGAAGAGTGGGGGTGTTTGCTGTCTTGCATTGGTTGCATGATAATTCTCACTACGACTTTCTGTTGGGTTATTATTGGTTTAGGTGAGCTGCTGCTCTTGATCCCCCATGCACAAAGAGCATAGGTGAGGTAGGGATGAATGAGTGAATAGTATAGTGTGAGCAGGGCTGATTGTGGTACGTAGTAGCGTATCTTGGAGAGGATTCCAACTGTTTTGGATATTTTTTTTTATATTAGTGTTGAATTTCAGGTTGCTGTCAAGGTGCTCTATGTATGATAATCTATGTAACTGTATTTGTGTATACCTGAATAACTTACTTAAAACGAGGTTGTATGAATTACAGTATACCAAAGAAAATGGGCTTGCATGAATTACATATGGGGGTAACATTAGGATGTATTTTACATTCTAGCATTGCGGGAGACATAGCAGTACAGTACTGTATACGAGTTTATCTTTACATTGTTTTTTTTCTAAGAATGATGTATGAAGCTGAGTTCGAAATTAAATTAAAGTGTTTTGGAGCATATTTAGGGTTTAAACTATAAAAAAGGCACTTTTTAAACCGTGTTCAGAATTCACGGTTTTTCCAAATTTGCGGGTGGTCTTGAAACATAACCCCCATGAATTTGGGGGGACTACTGTATTTAGTACATATTAATAAATGTATTACAGTAAAGGAATATAATAAAATTATCATTTCCTTTGCATTTTCAACAATAAAAATATCATTATGAGGAAGGAAAGGTGGATGGGTGGGATGCTCACAGACTGGTGGCCCTTAACACCACCATCCTCACACATTTCAGAGTTTGTTTACAATATACAGTGGACCCCCGCATAATGATTACCTCCGAATGCGACCAATTATGTAAGTGTATTTATGTAAGTGCGTTTGTACGTGTATGTTTGGGGGTCTGAAATGGACTAATCTACTTCACAATATTCCTTATGGGAATAAATTCGGTCAGTACTGGCACCTGAACATACTTATGGAGTGAAAAAATATCGTTAACCGGGGGTCCACTGTACAAGTATGCCAACTAAACGATGCACAAATATATATGAAGTAGGTACTGTAAATACATTACATCTAGGTTCATTTTATTTTTTAACCTTTATTATGCAAAGATAAACAGAGGATACATAAACACTGGGGGAGTCATGGACACATACAACATGATATATAAACACTGGGAGAGTGTCTATGGACTTATACAGTTCGTGTCAACTCTCTCAATTTGTATAAAAACATTGTCTCCAGCAAGCTCACATATGAACACAGATGATATGAAAACAAAGCAAGTATTGACTGGTGCAGGAATCATCTAATTTAATCACAAACACAGATCTGAGAATCATATGGGACACTTATGTACAGACCAATGAGAGGTGGGACGGGGGAGGCAGGGCAGGAAGCTAGGTCTCTCCCATAAAGACTGACACATAGTCAGGCATGTTACCAACTGTCTACTGTAGTACTATCACTCAATAAGTAAATAAAGAGATAATTACTGTAACTAAATACAAGTATTAAAAAGTAAGCAAAAGAGATGTTTATGCTGGCGAAGACAAGAGACAGAGAGTGGTGGTTCACCATCACCAGGAATGTGTGTCACTAAAACAGAGAGACAGAGAGTGGTGCCTCACCATCACCGGGAATGTGTGTGTCACTATAACACCATTGTAAAGTCAAAATATCATAAGTCATAAAGCGAGGATTACCATACACTGTTATACAGAGCTCCATACATTGACAGGGGTGCCGAGGTGCTATACACAGCGATGGTTGCCACTCAGAGCACGATGGGCGCCACTGGTAGCAGTGATGGCACTATGGTGGAGGTGGCAGAGGCACTGATGGCAATGTTGGTGTCATCACGGCGGAGCTTGGCACTCTTCCAGCACCACGATGGCATCACAGGCACTGCCAAGGATCATGTGGTGGTTGACTATGCTAACAAGTCAGTATTAGTCTCTATTATACCCTATTATTCTTTATTAATATGTATTGCTGTGTATTAACTTTAGTAATATGTATTAATGTGTATTAACTTGTATTAATGTGTATTAACTTGTATTAATGTATTGTATTAATATGTATTAATTTGTGTGTTTGAGTGTGTGTGTGTGAGTGATAATGTGTGAGTGTGGTGAAAGTGTTGAATGATGATGAAAGTATTTTCTTTTTGGGGATTTTCTTTCTTTTTTGGGTCACCCTGCCTCGGTGGGAGACGGCCGACTTGTTGAAAAAAACAAAAAAATTAATTTATATTAATGTATATTAACTTGTGGGAGCAAGGGGCTAGTAACTTCTTCTCCTGTATAAATTACTAAATTTAAAAAGAGAAACTTTCATTTTTCTTTTTGGGTCATGTCCTCAGTAGGATATGGCCAGTTTGTTGAAAGAAGAAATATTGACTTGTATTAATATGTATTTGTATTAATGTATATAAATTTGTAGATGGAATACAAGGAAAATGGAAGCAGCAGGTAAAAGAGGTGAAGGTTTATAAGCTAAAGGAGGAGGCAGTTAGGGTAAGATTATATTATTTTTTTATTAACACATTGGCCGATTCCCACCAAGGCAGGGTGGCCTGAAAAACAAAAACTTTGATCATCATTCACTCCATCACTCTCTTGCCAGAGGGGTGCTTTATACTACAGTTATAAAACTGCAACATTAATACCCCTCCTTCAGAGTGCAGGCACTGTACTTCCCATCTCCAGGACTCAAGTCCAGCCTGCCGGTTTCCCTGAATCCCTTCATAAATGTTACTTTGCTCACACTCCAACAGCACGTCAAGTATTAAAAACCATTTTCTCCATTCACTCCTATCAAATACGCTCATGCACGTTTGCTGGAAATCCAAGCCCCTTGCACACAAAACCTCCTTTACCCCCTCCGTCCAACCCTTCCTAGGCCGACCCCTACCCTGCCTTCCCTCCACTACAGATTTATACACTCCTAAGTGCACCACTCACCCTTTTCCCCTCATCAATTCTGTGATTCACCTCATCCTTCATAGACCCATCCGCTGACACGTCCACTCCTAAATATCTGAATACATTACCTTCTCCATACTCTCTCCCTCCAATCTGATATCCAATCTTTCATCACTTAATCTTTTTGTTATCCTCATAACCTTACTCTTTCCTATATTCACTTTTAACTTCCTTCTTTTACATACCCTACCAAATTCATCCACCAACCTCTGCAACTTCTCTTCAGAATCTCCCAAAAGCACAGTGTCATCAGCAAAGAACAACTGTGACAACTCCCACTTTGTGCTTGATTCTTTATCTTTTAACTCCACACCTCTTGCCAAGACCCTCAAATTCACTTCTCTTACAACTCCTTTTATAAATATATTGAACAACCACGGTGACATCACACATCCTTGTCTAAGGCCTACTTTTACTGGGAAAGATATAAACAACTATTGAAGGATAGATGGACTAGTGAAGTTTGGAGGGAAAGAGTATGGAGGAGGTTGAAGATGTATGGAGTACATTGAAGAATGTAGTGTTAGTGTTCAGCAGAAGTTTGTGGTTACAGGAAAGTGGGTGCAGGAGGGAAGAATAGCGAGTGGTGGAATGATGATGTAAAGAGAGTAGTAAGAGAGAAAAAGTTAGCATATGAGAGGTTTTTACAAAGTACAAGTGATGTGAGGAGGGAGTATATGGAGAGAATAAGAGAGGTTAAGAGTTTGGTGAAGCAATATAAAAAGAGAGCAAATGAGAGACTGGGTGAGATGTTATCAACAAATTTTTTAAGTTGACGAAGCCTAGGGAACGAATGGATTAGTTAGTTAAAAATAGGAGAGGAGAGTTAAAGGTATCAGGAAGATGGAGGGAATATTTTGAGGAATTGTTAAATGTTGATGAAGATAGGGAAGCTGTGATTTCGTGTATAGGGCAAGGAGGAATAACATCTTGTAGGAGTGAGGAGAAGCGAGTTGTGAGTGTGGGGGAAGTTCGTGAGGCAGTGGATAGAATGAAAGGTGGTAAGGCAGCTGGGATTGATGGGATAAAGATAGAATGTTAAAAGCAGGTGGGGATATAGTTTTTGAGTGGTTGGTGCTTCTGTTATTGAAAGAATTAAGAGTAAGACAGAGAGTAGGATAACAGATGAACAAAGAGGATTTAAGAAGGGTAGGGGGTGTGTAGACCAAGTGTTTACAGTGAAATATATAGGTGAACAGTATTTAAATGACGGTAAAGAGGTTTTTGTGGCATTTATGGTTTTGGAAAAGGCATATGACAGGGTGGATAGGGGGGCAATGTGGCAGATGTTGCAAATGTATGGAAATGTATGGGGTTAAAAGATAAAGAATCTAACAGTGTGGGAGTTGTCACAGTTGCTCTTTGCTGATGACACTGTGCTTTTGGGAGATTCTGAAGAGAAGTTGCAGAGGTTGGTGGATGAGTTTGGTAGGGTATGTAAAAGAAGAAAATTGAAAGTGAATATAGGAAAGAGTAAGGTGAAGAGGATAACAAAAAAAATAGGTAACAAAAGGTTGAATATTGGATTGGAGGGAGAGAGTATGGAGGAGGTGAATGTATTCAGATATTTAGGAGTGGACATGTCACCAGATGGGTCTATGAAAGATGAAGTGAACCATAGAATTGATGAGGGGAAAAGGTGAGTGGTGCACTGAGGAGTCTGTTGGGACAAATTACTTTGTCCATGGAATCAAAGAGGGGAGCGAAACATGGATGGTGAATGTTGCAACAAGGAGAAGGCTGGAGGCAGTGGAGATGTCATGTCTGAGGGCAATGTGTGGTGTGAATATAATGCAGAGAATTCATAGTTTGGAAATTAGGAAGAGGTGCAAGATTACCAAAGCTGTTATCCAGAGGGCTGAGGAGGGGTTGTAAAAGTGGTTCAGGCATGTAGAGAGGATAGAACAAAATAGTGACTTCAAGAGTGTATAAATCTGTATTGGAGGGAAGACTGGGTAGAGGTCGGCCTAGGAACGGTTGAAGGGAGGGGGTAAAGGAGGTTTTGTGTATGAAGGGCTTGGACTTCCAGCAAATATTCATGAGCGTGTTAGATAGGAGCGAATGGAAACAAATGGATTTTAATACTTGACGTGCTGTTGGAGTGTGAGCAAGGTAACATTTATGAAGGGGTTCAGGGAAACTGGCAGACCAGACTTGAGTCCTGGAGATGGGAAGTACAGTGCCTGCACTCTGAAGGAGGGGTGTTAATGTTGCAGTTTTATAACTGTAGTGTAAAGCACCCTTCTGGCAAGACAATGATGGAGTGAATAATGATGAAAGTTTTTCTTTTTTGGGCTGCCCTGCCTTGGTGGCCACCCTGCCTTGGTGGCCACCCTGTTTGGTGGCCCCTTGTTGTTGCCCACCCAGCTTGGTGCCCCTGCTTGTGGCCCACCCAGCCTTGAGTGGCGACCCTGCCTTGTGGCCACCCTGCCTTGGTGGCCACCGCCTTTGGCACTGCCTTGGTGGCAACCCTGCCTTGGTGGCCACCAGCCTTGTGGCCACCCTGCCTTGGTGGCCACCTGCCTTGATGGGAAAAATGCCTTAGTGGCACCTGCTTGTGACCCTGCCTTGGTGGGCACTGGCCTTGTTGCCTACACCGCCTTGGTGACAACCTGCCTTGAGAAACAGCTGATGTGTTAAAAAATTGTATTTGTATTAATTGTAATAATGTGTATTTGTGTATATTAGCCTAAAAAACTGTTCAAACATTGAGACATTTTCGCTTCTCATTGATAATTAAAAAAAAAAAAAAAACTTAGTAAATAGAGTTCTAGTGTATAGACCAGAAATAAAATGTTATGGTGAGTACTTACAGAATATTAGTGGACTGCGCTGGACACTCACCTGACGGTAACGTGGAGTCCTTCCGCTTGCAGAAATTTTGCCAATACCTTTTTTCTTGTTTTTAGTTTATATAATTTTTATGTTCTGATAACTGCAATTTATAGTAGTTATTGTGATTTTATAGCCAATGTTTGATGTGACACTAATATTGGGTTGTGAAGCAGACACACTGACAGGTTAACGTTTTCACCTGTCTTGGTCACACAATATTGTCTAGAAATACAGTGGAACCTCTATTTGCGAGTTTAATCCGTTCCATGACCTTGCTCGCAACTGGATTTGCTCGTTTGCAGAGTCAATTTTCCTCATTTAAATTAATTGAAATGCAACTAATCCGTTCCAGTGGAATTCTGTACTTCAATAATTTCGCTAATATCAACTCTACGGCTTATTTATCTATCTCACTTCATATAATATGACATAATAAACAATATAAATAACATACAAACCTGATATATATACTCTAAAATGAATAAAATATATCATTCATGTGGTGGTATGGGCGGTGTCGGCGGTGGACGAGTTTGTCTGGAGACCGGGCAAAATACAGTGGACCCCGGTATTCGATGGCATCGGTATTTGATAAATCCGGTATTCAATGCATTATATCGAAAAAAAATTTCCTCGGTATTCGATTGAAAACCCGGTATTCGATACGATTCGTACGAGACCTGTCCACATGTGGCCTGAACTGCCCCTTGTGTGCCAGTGTTTACAAGCCAGCCAGTGTGCGCGCATCTAAGGATACATTCGGTACATTCCATATTATCCATATTATCACTGTGTTTGGTGCTTGTTTCTGCAAAATAAGTCACCATGGGCCCCAAGAAAGCTTCTAGTGCCAACCCTGTGGTAAAAAGGGTGAGAATTAGTATGGAAATTAAGAAAGATTTTGAAGGGTTTGGGGCTAACCCTGAGAAGCCTATACCAGTTGTGGAATACATTGTGCCTACTTCAAAAATTAAGGAAATGTGTGCAAAGTGGGTTGAAGTGCAAACCTTTATGGATGAAAATCACCCTCACACAGCTATTACAATGACAATGTTGTGGCCCATTTTAGACAAATCGTAAAGGAACGAGAGGTACAGAGCTCTATGGACAGATTTGTTGTGCG